TGGGTAATGAAGAAAAACTTTAATATAAGTTTAACATAACAGCAAATGTACGACGTTTCGACAAGGTTTTATACATTTGGTGTTATGTTAAACTTATATTAAAGTTTTTCTTCATTACCCATTCAAGCCGTCTCCAACCATTAATAGTAACACTCAAATGAATAAAGAATTTTGTACATATAAAATAGATTTGTAACTGTTACAAAGAGAAATTAGGGTTTATCAATTAGTTTACTTTAAAGCATAACTCACAAGCCCTGGACAAATTTCACCTTTACAAACTAATGAAGTGAGAACAGAAGCTTAAAGTATTATATCCAGTAGCTTAGCAGAATGCAGCATCTACTCTGTGGGTATAAATATTTCCAAGTCTCTTTTTTTAAATCCTTTTGAATTGTTTCTAATATCAAATGTCATCCTCAATTTTTTTATTACAAGTAATAGTATGCAAAAAAAAAATGAACACGTCCTTACCTTTAGATGAAGGGCTCAACTGTAGGAAAAGAACACACAATGAAACCAAAGATTAATAGAAAATTTTTCTTTGACAAATCAGCGAGTTATTTTAAAATGTTAAAACTACCTAAATTTATTCTTGTAAAACACAACCGTCTATAACTCGGATTTCAATTAAAACAAATTAAGTATCTTAAGAATAAGGACCACTAGACTGATGCCATCCTGTAAAAGATAACATTATTACTTGTAATTACCAAACAACTAAACACATTTTACACAAAGAAGAATGTATCTTAGTCAGTTTACCAGAAATTCATGTGAAAATTCTTGTTTCAATGAGTTGGCTTTTAAATTATTAGTTTTATTTTAAATTTCAAACATTTCTTATACATTTTTTTTGTCAATTTAAAAAGATGTTTCCTGGCTTTACAGTAAAACATCTAAGTTCTGCAATGAACATTACTATCAAATATAAGGTAATATTTATCAATCTCAAAGTTGAATTCCAGAAATACAAATAACTATTATAACATAATACTTGCGTTTTTCAAATGTATGCTCTTCCTTAAGACTTGAGATTTAATTCAGGTCAAAGTGTAATAAAAGATTCCCAAACTGCATATTCAAAAGTAAATGTTGCCACCATTTTCATGGAATAAAATTAAGATTTTACTGTTTATAGCAAAGCTAATAAGAATCAAAGTAAATTATGCACCTACAAATCTCAAGCACCCCCAAAAAGCTCTTGTTTGTTTCAGAATTTCCTGCAAAGCCATTTGTAGGCTATTTGCACTAGCTGTCCCTAAAGTGGAAGTGACAGAGTAGAAGGAAGGCAGCTTGTCAACATCATCTACTGCCAACTCTTGGGCTAATATTTTACCAGCAAAAAATGGGATTGACATTATAATGCTCCCATGGCTGAGAGGGAGAGCATGTTTGGTGATGGGATTAAACTTGGAACTCACAGATTGCGAGTCAAACACCCTAGTCACCAAAAAGCTGTTTATGTGTAAAATTTTCAGTAAAATATTTAAAGCATTTAATAACAAACAAAACTACGTGGAGGATTTTCACAAGTCCTACTTAAAGAGTTTTATGACTTAACTATCATTTTACTAACATACTTAAAACCATCATCAAGTTCACTGGCACCATATTTATACATACAGTAATAATATAGTTTGCCTATATTCAAATACTCACCTTTTCCTTCTATTAACATTACTAAGTAGCAATAATTGTAGCTACTTTTCCAACATTAAATGATGCAAAAAGTTAAAAACTCACCGTCAGCATCTGTAACTGATGAACTGTCAAATCTTTAACATTAACATCCAGTTTTTCGTGTTCTTGCGTTACTTTTTTCTAATACAATAAAATTTGACACCAAAAATTAGACAAAATAAAGTGTATAATAACGAAAATATACTTTTTTTAATTCTTTAAATTAGGTTTCAAACTTATTCTATGACAGAAATCTAATACATTAGGAAAACACTATTTTATGTTAGTTACTAAGTAACTCTATCAATGTGGCAATAGGGTTAACTCTCACTGTAACGTAGAAATTATGAATCATGTACAAAAAATGTAGTAATTTTTGCTTGTCTGAAGAAAATATCAAATCAGTTTTTGTGCAAATAAACTTTTGAATTATGTCCAAATTTGAGGATTAGAATGATTAAAACAAACCTTGAATTCACACAAAACATAATGTGAGATTATAATTAAAAGAGTTAGAAAACTTTTTTGCTGTAAACCAAATAAATGTAAATAGTCCAAGACGTATCAGTCTATTTATGATGTATATATGTATCATAACTACAAGTATATAAACATATAAACACACACACACGCAATTTAATAATATGAATAACTTTAAAATGTATACTATACACACTATGTTAATTTTCCCTTAACTAAAGATAGTAATAGTTTTAAGAACATTTAAATGTACACAACATCTAATGCTGGACAGGTACTATGAAAAGTAACATGTAAAAATAGTACAAGTCTATAACTATAAGCACCTTTTTCATAGAGATGGAGATATGATAATCATGGTAAATAACTGGAACCATATCTTTTGACAACTGTACATCAAGTTCAACCATATCAGCCCCCTGTCAGATAAAACACACCTTCAGATACAATTCTAGTAGGTCATGTAAAGATTAAAAAACATTTGGTAATTTGCTTTAACCTTATCGGTTGTGATATATTACAGATGAATAGCAAAGTAGAAAACTTTAGGTTCTCAAATCTCAACTTGGATGTATACTTCTCAACAAGTTGCAACAGTTTAATCACAAAAAGTGACAAGACACAGGTTTATACAAAAACGAAAATTTAATGATTTACAAATAACAATCAAAATAAAGATACTCCACTAAAACAAAACACAACAGTACAGAAAGTAACTGTGTGCACTTTAAAGCATTAAATAGCAAGAGTTAGGACCAGAAAGAGCTAATAAAAAAACATGAATAGAAAAATACTCCAGCTGGTCCATGCAATCCTCTCTACAAGTTAGACTAAGTGAAATGAAACCACTAGATGAAATAACCCGAAGTTACAATAGAGCTAATAAAGTTAAATAGAGCTAATTAAAACATTAATACAAAAATACTCCAGCTGGTCCATGCAATCCTCTCTACAAGTTAGACTAAGTGAAATGAAACCACTAGATGAAATAACCCCAAGTTACAATAGAGCTAATAAAGTTAAATAGAGCTAATTAAAACATTAATACAAAAATACTCCAGCTGGTCCATGCAATCCTCTCTACAAGTTAGACTAAGTGAAATGAAACCACTAGATGAAATAACCCCAAGTAACAATAGAGCTAATAAAGTTAAATAGAGCTAATAAAAACATTAATACAAAAATACTCCAGCTGGTCCATGCAATCCTCTCTACAAGTTAGACTAAGTGAAATGAAACCACTAGATGAAATAACCCCAAGTTACAATAGAGCTAATAAAGTTACAATAGAGCTAATTAAAACATTAATACAAAAATACTCCAGCTGGTCCATGCAATCCTCTCTACAAGTTAGACTAACTGAAATGAAACCACTAGACGAAATAATCCCAAGTTACATTACTCTCTCTTTAAGTAAAAGCACTAGAACTGTGAAATCCAAATCCTTACTTCAATTTTACCAACAAAACAAACTCACTTAAAAACAACTCTTAACAATGGTGGAGCCAAAACTCCACTAACAATGTTTCACATTTAAAACAAAACAAATTCTGAAACTTTTTTTGCATACAGTGAATGTAAACAGTTCCAAATTACTGGTGAGAACCTTATGGCACTCACCCTAGACGAGGTGAGAAAAAACAGTGATGTTAAACTTTGTTCATAGAAGGCAAATGCCTAACACAATGTGAGAACGTTAGGAGCTTTACTAAAATTAAATGACAGAAAAGGTACCAGAAACACACAGTTCTAATGTGTGAACTTTAAAGAGTTCTTGCTATGTTAAACAAAATAAAATTATTGGTTTTTGCTGAACAAGTATATTTATATATCAATAAATCCTCAAGTTAATCTTGTTAAAGAAAGTGAATAACAGGCACTGAAGATAAAGGGCAGATCTAATCACAACTATTATAAGATTTTATGACAAGAATAACTCAGTTTACTAATTAAAAACACTGTTGTTATTCTTCTTAACTTTCACTTAATCTAGCTTGTCCCTTAAAGAAGATAAAAGTTGGTAACCTGCTTAAGAAACTATGAAAAATGATAGTTTTGAAATGTTTTTAACCAAAGGGGCATAAAACATGTGCTCCTGTACTATAGTGGTAAAAAAATAAAATAATAACACTCTTTGTTTGGTTTAACATTACTGATAAAAAGACAAACCAAACCATAGTGGAATTATTTAATGTTAATAAAATATTAAAGAAGATACTCAAATTTCCGATCTAGGGACCTATTGTACTGCCAACATAATGATGAAGAAAGTATAGATAAAAATAAGAGAACATGGAAACACATTTATTTTTTAAAGAAGTTAGTATTTCCACATCAGACAAGAACTACATCTAAATTGTTCCACTAAAGACAGCTACATGAGAGCAAAGTGTTAGAAGTGACTTTTTGTTCCTTCTTTGTTAAGAAAAATGCTTTTTCACATTACTATACGGAATTGTGTGTGAGTTAGACCAATCAAACTTCATAATAAAGCCCCACAGTAAGAATTGTGTGTGTTAGACCAATCAAACTTCATAATAAATCCCCACACTTACATGTCGTGCAGCATAATTGAAAGAAGCTACTGTGTTTTCCAAGAGATTTTCAATTCTAAGGAAACAAAATGAAGTGTTAATAATCAATACAAACTTATTGAATTGTCCCGTTTTATTATTGCCGATCTGAAGGCACAACTACAATTCTGTATATAAATTGTACCACACACAACACATAAGGGATTATAAATCACAACTTTCAGTATACAAGAACATGAAATAAATTACACAGGGTATAGGTTCAATGTTAGTTTTCTTCTGGTACAAATACTTTTTTTGTTCCAATTATAGTTTTCCTAGTAAATCTCTAACACTACTTTCAAGTTAACACATTAAGAACTTGTATACACTTGTACGTATCTGTGGTTCATAATAGAAACTTTACACATAATTGAAAAACACAGGTATTTAACTTAAAATGTTTTCTTTTTCACAAGAAGCACATAATTTATGATACACTTAGATATAAACTTACAGTTAGTATTAAACATGATGGCACCATACTTATCACTTCTTCTGGCATTCCCAGACCCTCGATGACCAACATCTAAGCCTCGTATACGTTTCCAATGCCGGGCGTATGAAATGCGAAAATCGCACATGCAATTCTTCAAAGGTTTCACCACCAAGTATTCCACTTACAGAAAGAAGACTGATTAGAAACTAATGTATTACTAAACTATAAATATTTTTTTTATTTATTATGAATCTAATCAGCCTCGAAAAACAACTAGTCTTCTATAATAAAACAAAAAAAATGTATTAATCCACTTGCAACAGAATTTATTTCGTTGGCTTTATATGTCAAGCATGCACGTGCATCTTTCATTATGCAACGAAACCTGTGCTACTCGTGACACTAAATTCCACTTTTTTTGGCATTAGCTTCACATGGTACAAATTGAAATGACTGCCAAACTAAAACCATTTGTTTAATTGCTTATCTCTTTAAACTGAGTTTATTGGAGGTTTATCCAAGTTCCTTTATTATATTTTATCAGAAATGGTTCAGGAAGTTCCTCGTGTTAAAACATCAAAGAAATAGATATACAACTATATATACATATAGTTAGAATTAGTATAGTTACAAGGTTTACTTTAACCACTCTTTCCACATAACCCATATCAAGATAAACCGTATACAGCACACTTTGTGTTTAAAATTGTTTTATACACTCCTTACTGTGGAACATAAAGATATAAGGTCACAAAGATACCAACTATCAAGACGGTTTACTAACACCCACATAACAGTGCAAACACAAACATATATAATGAGCATTTACAAGTTTGAAGTTGATGATTATATATTAATACGCCCATAGACATCCAGTGTTTAAGGCACCCTACATGTTTAACTTAGGATTAAATTAAGTCTCCAATACTTATGAACAAAACAGGTAAATTTATCAACTATTATCATCTGGCCTTACAATTAAGTACTTTTTATTTTATATAATTTTAACGATGAAAAAAAACTGATATATATTTTACTGTTAAACATGACTTGTTTTATTGAACAACTTTGTTTTCTACAGATCTACATAACGATATGAAGTTATGTCAAATGTTTCTTGCTTTTTAATGCGAGTGATCACCTGAATTTAAAGAGAAATTTTTTTATGTTGTTAACAT